TTGTTCTGTGTGTGGGAAGGCATTTTCACAGAAATCAACTCTTAACAATCACCAGAAAACACACACGGACGAGAAGCTATTCAATTGTTCTCCGTTGGAGAGGACACGGTCATCACCCCGAAACAAGCATGAGAAGATCAGCAAAAATAGGGAAGTGAAATCAAAAAGTGAAAAACAAAGTGCTGCAATGAGTCCTGAAAAAAATGCATCTTTCGAACCTATGCAGGTGGATCCTGAGAGATGCATGGATGTAATGAGTCCTGACGACAATTCCTATTTCGACCCCATGCAGTTGGATCCTGCGAGATGGCTGGATGTACTGAGCCCTGACGACAATTCCTATTTCGACCCCATGCAGGTTGATAATGAGAAATGGCTGCTGGAGTGGCTGGATAATCAAAGTACTGAGAACTTCTGTTAAAGTCCTGGAATGTGCACGTTTGTTTCTCTGTTAGATCAATGTATTAGGTGCAATTGATAATATCAGTGATTTCCAGCACTACTCCAACCTAGTGTAATTATTTTAACAAAACCGTTTGATTGCTCTGTGTGTTGGAAGCATTTTCACAGTCAGTAACACTTCACAGGCATCATCAAACAAAGAGTAAAAATGTTGTCATGAGTCCTCAACGAAATTCCTCTTTCGACCCCATGCAGTTGCATCATGAGATATGGCTTGATGTAGTGGAGTATTCGTGTCTCATATATATTTTTCGGTGATTTCTAGGACTTCAAGCTAGAGTGATGTTGTGAATGCTCTATAATGTGTTCAGATGAATGTCTTCCTTTAAGTTCCAGAAGTGTTCACGGATTTCAGAATGACAACAATTTTATACTTTGGACGAATGGCTTCAGTCGAAAAGGACGTCAAAGGGGAAATCGACGTTTACGTGTTTGATTTTAAGAATATATTTTAACTGTTGAATTCCTATTGGGAAATAATTTGCCTAGTTCCTTTCCTGTTTGAGCCTGCGTATTAATAAAGATTTCGATACGAGTATTAACGTGAGCTTTCTTGCAGAATAATAAAGACCTGTTTTTAAAGATGACTGATCGTACGTTATTGCTACCATAGTTTTCCTTTAAAAAAACACGGACGAGTAGACATACACACACGAGTGTGCATCCAAACACGACTGTATATACAGCGGTGTGCATTCACACACGAGTGTGCATGTGTTTCTACGCTGTTTTCATTCATTTCGCACCACGAGCGGGGAGTCTCATCGCTGTAGTTCCCTGTTGTGGTGGCGCATTCCTACCACGTTGCCCCTCAATTATTTGTACGACACAATATAAAAATAATTTGTTTGTTCCAATACATAATCATACACGAGTACACATACACTCTCATGTACACACACCCACACACGAGTGGACATACACAGCAGTGTAAGTACAAAGGGATTGCGTTCGACTACGCGAACAAATGGCAGAATTTTTAATATAAAACACTCGTTTTCTAGAAACACCCCGCTCAACACGATTGTACTTAAATATATTTATAAAACAAAGTCAGATCAAGCTCGAGATCACCAATTTTGATACTTCAGACTGTATGTCACTTTATCATCCTCTAAACTTGCAGCAGTTTAGAGGACATTGGGGGGTGAATATTAGCAAATTAACACGAATCATGGAATTATGCATAGAGATGCACATCCGTATTCAAACGGAAGTGTACAATTATTCAGTGATATGTACATACGTATTATGTTGCTAGATATGCGGATTGTTAATGTAAAATTAACAATTGAATGCAAATTCCATAATAGGCCAAGTCGAGAACAAAGAATTTGGATGCTAGAGCGGAATTATAAAGGGCTTAAAATCAGACCTCAAGGGCATTTCGAGAGGGATTTTGATGAGCATAGACGCTCGACTCCCCGCTCTGCAGATAACCCTTCTTCCACGACACCCAGCCTGGCGAGCACGATTGCTTGGCGACTGGTTGGGGACTTTGCTTCGGGAGAGTTCGTGGGACATCGATACGCCGTGCATCAACAAGTAAGTGTCTTTGTTAGTGGATAAACTGGTAATCGCGTGTGTAGTCCGACTTACTGTGTATCGGTTAGACGTTGGTAAGAGTTTGCTTCTTGGCGATTTAAGCCACACATCCACGCACCTTAGAGGGTGCCTTTAACTCTCAACAACACCCGCGACAGTTTCTCTGCTCTGAAGAATCAGTCACATGGAGCAGAAAAACTCTCCACAGCGGCACGCACACACGGGTAAGAAGCCATTCAATTGCGCTGTGTGCGGGAAGGCATTTGCAGATTCATCAACTCTTCGCAATCACCAAAAAACACACTCGGGTGAGAAGCCATTCAATTGCTCTGTTTTTTTTGAAGGCATTTGCCCGTAAAGCAGATCTTCACACTCACCAAAAAACACACACGGGCGAGAAGCCGTTCAATTGCGCTGTGTGCTGGAAGGCATTTGCACGGAAATCAGATCTTCACAAGCACCAGAAAACACACACGGACGAGAAGCCGTTCAATTGCTCTGTGTGTGGGAAGTCATTTGCAGATTCATCAACTCTTCGCAATCACCAAAAAACACACTCGGGTGAGAAGCCATTCAATTGCTCTGTTTGTGTGAAGGCATTTGCCCGTAAAGCAGATCTTCACACTCACCAAAAAACACACACGGGCGAGAAGCCGTTCAATTGCTCTCTGTGTGGGAAGCCATTTTCACGGAAATCAAATCTTCATCGTCACCAGAAAACACACACGGGCGAGAAGACATTCAATTGTTCTCCGTTGGAGAGGACACGGTCATCACCCCGAAACAAGCATGAGAAGATCCGCAATGAAAGTGAAATCAAAAGGAGAAATACAGAGTGCTGCAATGAGTCCTAAAAAATGCATCTTTCGAACCTATGCAGGTGGATCCTGAGAGATGCGTGCATGTAGTGGATGTACTGAGCCCTGACGACAATTCCTATTTCGACCCCATGCAGGTTGATAATGAGAAATGGCTGCTGGAGTGGCTGGATAATCAAAGTATTGAGTACTTCTGGTAAAGTCCTGGAATGTGCACGTTTGTGTCTCTGTTAGATCAATTTATTAGGTGCAATTGATTATATCAGTGATTTCCAGCACTACAAACTGGTGTAATTCTTTTAACAAAACCGTTTGATTGCTCTATGTGTTGGAAGCATTTTCACGGTCAGCAACACTTCACAGGCATCATCAAACAAAGAGTAAAAATGTTGTCATGAGTCCTCAACGAAATTCCTCTTTCGACCCCATGCAGTTGCATCCTGATAGATGGCTTGATATAGTGGAGTGGCTGGAGAGTCATATTCGTGTCGCTTATATATATTTTTCGGTGATTTCTAGGACTTCAAGCTAGAGTGATGTTGTGAATACTCTATAATGTGTTCAGATGAATGTCTTCCTTTAAAGTTCCAGAAGTGTTCACTTATTTCAGAATGACAACAATTTTATACTTTGGACGAATGGCTTCAGTCGAAAAGGACGTCAAAGGGGAAATCGACGTTTACGTGTTTGATTTCAAGAATATCTTTTAACTGTTAAATTCCTATTGGGAAATAATTTGCCTAGTTCCTTTCCTGTTTGAGCCTGCGTATTAATAAAGATTTCGATACGAGTATTAACGTGAGTTTTCTTGCAGATTAATAAAGACCTGATTTGTTTTAAAAAAATGACTAATCGTACGTTATTGCTACCATAGTTTTCCTTTAAAAAAACACGGACGAGTAGACATACACACACGAGTGTGCATCCAAACACGACTGTATATACAGCGTTGTACATTCACACACGAGTGTGCATGTGTTTCTACGAGTTTTAACGTTAATATACTTGCAGAACAATAAAGACCTGCTATGTTAAAGATGACTGATCGTCCCTTATTGTTACAATGTTCATAGCGAACACGTGTGGAGGCGAGTTTCAGGTGAAGCATCTCCATCACACAAGTTTACCCTTACCTGGCAGCATCGTGGCAGTTCGCTGGTCACACTCACTACGTTACACTCACGAGCTGTAGGGGCGGGGCTCTGTCTGCTCAGTGGCGCTGTTTTCATTCATTTAGCACCACGAGCGGGGAGTCTCATCCCTGTAGTTCCCTGTTGAGGTGGCGCATTCCTACCACGTTTCCCCTAAATTATTTGTACGACACAATATAAAAACAATTTGTTTGTTCCAATGCATAATCATACACGAGTACACATATACACTCCCATGTACACACACCCACACACGAGTGGACATACACAAAAGTACAGATCCATGTACATACAAACAGTAGTATACTTGTGTAATGCGGGCATAAACGGCCTCGCGGATATGACGTCACGGGGGGAGGAGTTAGGTCACGTGAGAGAGAGGGATGAGGTCTTAAGGGAGAGATACCGGAAGAAACGGGAGAGTGTTGGGAATAGAGACAGAGTGAGGCCACACAGTGCGGAGGTTGGAGAGTGGCGAGATCGCCACACACAGTAAGACTCGGCACCGTCGGCCAGCGGTGACGAGCACGGGGGAACAGGGAGCAGCGGTGGAGCTGCAGTGAGAGCAGCCGGAGGACTGCACAGCGGAGCTGCAGGAGCGCGAAAGGCTACGTGAGCGAAGGCAGCTGTCGAGCTGCTAAGCGGGGAGGCTCTGAGCGAGGGCCGTGTGGGACAAGTGTAAAGAACCCAAATAAAGGACAACGGAGACAGACCCAGTGAACGAGTCCTTTATTACACTTGCAAGCAATTCAACGTTATGTTGTGTCATCATGGGTTTATTTCACAAAGTTTAAAGTGCCAGCAACAACAATGGTATTGAACCTTATTCTTTACAGGAGTGGCTCTGGGTGGACATGCCACCACAAAGCAGCACGCGGCGGAGGAGGGAGGTGATCGCTCTCGCCACGCGAGCAAGGCCCCCTCGCTTCCTCTTCTTTCCCTGCATCACCACCTCCACCACCTGCACCTCCTCCACCTCCTGCTTTGTCTCGTCCTCCATCTCCTCCTCTTCATCCTCCACCACCATCTTCTCTCCATTCTCTGTCTTCTCCATTCCCTCCTCCTGTTCCTCCTCAACCTCTTCCTCCACCTTCTCCTCTTCCTGTTCCACCTCTGTCTTCTTATCCATCTTCTCTGCTTGGAAGCCCTCTTCTCCAAAGCTTGGAGCAATCGGGCCCTGTACAGGAGTGTCAGAGGTGGATGCGGTGGCGGTGGTGGTTGCAGCGGTGGTGGTGGTGGCGGCGGTGGTAGTGGTGGCGGCGGCGGTGTCGGTGGCGGCGGTGGTGGCGGTGGTGGTGGCGGCGGTGGTGGCGGCGGTGGTGGTTACTGCGGTGGTGGTGGTGGCGGCGGTGGTGGTGATGGCAGTGGTGGAGGTGGCAGTGGTGGCGGAGGGTTTTGTGGCAGTGGCGGCAACAGCGTCAGTGGCAGTGGTGGCGGTGGATGCGGTGGCGGCAGTTGTGGCGTTGGCGGTGGTGGCTGTGGTGGCGGTGGTGACGGCGGTCGTGGCGGTGGTGGCGGTGGTGGTGGCGGCGGGTTTTGTGGCAGTGGCGGCAACAGCATCAGTGGCAGTGGGGGTGGTGGTGGCGGTGGTGGTGGCGGTGGCAGTGGTGGCAGTGGTGGTGGTGGCGGTGGTGGTGGCAGGGGTGGGGGTGGAGTTGCCGGCGGTAGCGGTGGTGGTGATGGTTGCAATGCTGGCAAGGCGCTGCTCCTGCTCAAGGCGCTTCTCCTCCTCGACGCGTTTCACGTTGGCGAGACACTTCTCCTCCTCCTCCAGATTCTTCTCCTCAGGACACATCATCTCGAGATGATGCTTCTCATCAATGAAGTACTTCACTTGAATGAGGCGCTTCTTGAGGAGATAGTCTCGGAAGTACTTCTCATCTGTGCGGCACTTCGCCCTGGCAATGCGCTGCACCTCAAAGAGGCGCTCCTCTTCCATGGTGCATCTTTCTTTGCTAAGGTTCTTTTCCTGGAGATGCTTCATCCCGCTGACGTCCTTCAACTCCCCAATTATCCTCTGATCAAGCAAAGATAAGCAAAAGAACATTCAGACATGCACATGCAAGAAAACATTCATACCCACAGGCACGCAAACGTGGACGTGCACATAAACCCAAACAAAAAAACATACTCACACATGTATGTACAGATGCAGCCATCCACATTCAGTCATTCAAACTTGCTTAGTACACACTTGAATATACACTATCACCTGCTGTTAACACAATGCCTTATCCATCAATACTTGTATCACATTGTACGTGTAGTACTAACCCCTAAATATCCCAACTCCTATAGAATGAAAATACATGTCACATCCTCATATATCCCCATAAACCCCATGCATGCACTCAAGACTTTGCTCGATTGTGGCGGTTTCATAGCAATTGTTGGCAATAATCATCACTGGCAATAGTTTTCACAGAATGTCCCATTATAAATATCTGGAAGCCCAAACTCTGGACAAACTTCACTGCAGCGCCCATAGTTTGGAACTGGAATGGTAACTTCCAATCAAATCACAGACATAATTAATGTGACTGCCTGATATCATTCTGTCTTCATTGGTAATAAATGGCCACTTCAAGTGCCTGCATGAGCGGGACGGTGAAGAGATGCGGTGATGGTGTCGGGACATGGTGTTGCGATATGGAGAGGAGAAGTAGTGGAATGTTCTAGAGAGATGGTGTATTGTGATGGTATAGAGGCATGATGAGGCTCTAATATGGTGTATTGAATTGGTGGTCGTGTAGTGTGATGAGAAGGTGATGGGGAGAGTTGGTGTCGTGATATTTTGGTGTGCTGGTGAGGTGACATGGTGTGCTCGTTGTCGAGAGAATGTCGTGTGTTTTAACCCCACAGACCCCATACACATCGTGCTCTCTTTTAGCCCCGCCCCCCCTCCCAATACGTTCCATTCATTGGCTACCACATTCTGATAAGCTCCTCCCCCCTCCTCCCTCCTTAACTTGTATTTAAGAACTTGCATCTTGGAATCCCTGCCTCACTTGATACAGCAAATTCAGCTGTGACGGTCCCACCTGGGACGGAGACTTGTGTTGCCTCCGAAACGTCGTGATTTTTATTATTTTATTTTTATTAATTTTTATTTCATTTTATACCTACGTGACTTTACCGAAATAACTAAGAGTATGAATCCTTGCAGTCACGAAAGCTTCAAATCTAGAACCCATACACACCTTTGGGGAGCGATTCTTGTAACTTTGGCCTGGGAAAGGGTCCACCTTATCCATAACGTCCCCCCACGTGGTCGACTGGCACGCCGACTCCCGGGCTATGAAGAACAGAAAATGCATTCAAAGTACGAGTTATTAATTAGAGAACGAAGGACATGGAGTCTCACAGAACTAATTTTGAGATCCCAGTAATTACCGCTTACCACACAACAGGACCTGCTATTGAAAAATAGTCATCACATGGCAGTAAAACTTTACAAGTCATGTTTTTGTCGGCAATCTCAATTTTGGAGCTTTCGTGACTGGAGGAATTATTCTTTGGTTCTTTAGGTTAAGTCACGTATAAAGATAAAATAATAAATTAAATAATAGCATACTACGACGTTTCGATTGCAACACAAGCAATCATCATCAGGTATAAAATAAATAGCAACAAAAATCTAACCAGAAAACTATAGACAGACACACAAGCAGACAGACATCACAAAGACACGCAGAGAGAGAACACGTATTGGCAGAAAGAGAGAGGTCGTCTCTGTGACGAGGCCTTAAATATACAGAGGGGGCGGGGGCGGAGAGATCGTAAATTACATAAGCTTGAGACCCCAGTTTGAACAAAGATGGCAACAACTCAAATATAAACCCATCCTCTTTGCCACACTCGATCATTACGTCTTCCCATTACCACCAAGCCATGTCTACGAAAAGTAATTCATCAAGGAGTCTCCTCCTCCGCATATAATCCATGTGATGCAGGTATCTGGGACTTACCCTCATATTCATCCAAGATCTCAGCCCACGTGATTTGTCTGTCCATGTTGTTGGGAACGAGTAGATTTTGTTTGAAGTTGGATGGCCTGGGGAGGTTGGAACAACGCTCAGATTTAGCAAACTTTTGAATCACTCATCCTCCTAATTAATACATATTTGACCACTCATTGTATCAATCCAATCACTATCGTGACTATACTCTTAGGTTTTTTTCGGTAAAGTCACGTAGGTAAAAATAGATAAATAATAAAAATAATTAATGATAAAAATATAAATAATAATAGAAATAAAATAATATATCACGACGTTTCGGAGGCAACACAAGCTTCCTTCATCAGGTGTAAAAAGGCACAGCAAAATAACTGTAGTTAGGTGTAAAAAGGCAAAATAACTACAGTTATGTTACAGTTATTCTACAGTTATTTTGCTGTGCCTTTTTACACCTGATGAAGGAAGCTTGTGTTGCCTCCGAAACGTCGTGAGTTATTCTTTTTTATTCATATTATTATAAATATTGTAAAAGCTAATTTTTTTTTCCCTACGTGACTTTACCGAAAAAAAACCTAAGAGTATGAATCCTTGCAGTCACGAAAGCTTCAAAACTAAAACACTATCGTGACTTTTGTTGTTGCTGCTAATCCTACATAATGCAATGGCATAATATGACTTTGAGACCCCCCCCCCCACCTCCTACGCATTTCACAAGTAGTGACTAATCCCATATATACATTTTCCATAAATATGCTAAATTCATCTGTTGATATGCAAATACCTTTGTCAAGGCGCCCTTCCCACTCTAACCCAGCTTAAATATACGCTGCCAAGCTTGGTGGTGTTCATTCAGACGCTGTCTTTTCGACAGCCCTATTCTTCACCTGAGGACGGCTGCTTGCGTTGTGGCCGAAACGTCGTGAGCATTGTATTTTATTATGTTTTATTTTTATCATTTTATTATTTTCTTTCTACGTGACTTTACCGATAGAATCAAGAAGACTATCGTGACTGTTGCTTTAAAAGCCCACTCACTCGCTTGTTTTCCCACTCATGTGTGCGCCCGATCACTCACTCATCCACCCACACGAACATGTTTATTCCAACTGCCTATTCCATTAAACATAATCACCAGACTTAACAATGATATTTCACCTCTAATCCCGACATGCATGTTCATGTACAGCCCATTTGTATTAATCGACTGCTTGATAGAGGACCCATATGCCTTGTGGGTCATTAGGGTCATATGACCATACTTTAATTATTTGTTATAATACGAGCATGACGTCGTAGGTCACTTGATGTCAGAGGTACCACCCATGTGGCTGTGACATCACAGATTGGAGGCAACTATGGCAGTGGCTAGGGTCTGAACTTAAAGGCAGACTCCTCCTCATATGTTGAATAACATTCAATACATGTAATGTAGGGCACAATTGTACCAGCAATCAGAACACAATAATTGTATACATGTTATTAATATTCTATGAGATTTAAACGGATTAGTTAAGCTTGTTTTAAATGCTGACTCGCTTGGGGTCTAAACAACGACAGTAACAGCAACATTTCAGAGAATGCCAAGTATCCTATCTAACAGTTCTAATTAGAATTTTTAATTAAAGCTTTCGTGACTGCAGGGATTCATATTCTTGGTTCTTTCAGTGAAGTCACATAGAAGGGAAACAATAAAATAATAAAAATATAAAACAATAAAATTATCACGACGTTTCGACTGCAACACAAGCAATCGTCATCAGGTGTGAAATCCACAGCAAGAAAATTTGAAAAAAGTGGCGTTTTTTTCTAATTTGATTGCTGAAAATTGAATTATGAACATATAAAAGTAATGAAGCTTTAGTTTGTGGTCGAAATGTAAAATCAACAGGGTCGCTCACCTCGTTGAGGATTCGCTCTCAAAAGGCTTCTTCTGCTGCTCCCTCGTGTGCATTCCTCTCGACTGTGGGTGGAGGCGTGGCTGTGACGTAACAGAGGTGACGTCACTAGGGCGAGGCTCCGCCCCCCACGATCCCGGCTGGCGCATCACGTGGTGCAGTGCTGGTTGTGCGCGGGACCGGAAACAGCAGGGCTTGGGTTCGACTTCAGACTCCGTGGTCTACACAGCGAGGGTGAGTGAATGGGTGAGTGGGTGAGAGATTGAGTGAGTGGGTGAGAGGGTGGGTGAGTGAGTGAATGGGTGAGTGGGTGAGAGATTAGGTGAGTGGGTGAGAGATTAGGTGAGTGGGTGAGAGATTGAGTGAGTGGGTGCGTGGGTGGGTGAGAGATTGAGTGAATGGGTGAGTGGGTGGGTGAGTGGGTGAGTGAGTGAGTGGGTGAGTGAGTGGGTGGGTGGGTGAGTGGGTGAGTGAATGGGTGAGTGGGTGAGAGATTGAGTGAGTGGGTGGGTGAGTGAATGGGTGAGTGGGTGAGTGAATGGGTGAGTGGGTGAGTGAGTGGGTGAGTGAATGGGTGAGTGAATGGGTGAGTGGGTGAGTGAGTGGGTGAGTGAATGGGTGAGTGGGTGAGTGAATGGGTGAGTGGGTGGGTGAGTGAATGGGTGAGTGGGTGAGTGAATGGGTGAGTGGGTGAGTGAGTGGGTGAGTGAATGGGTGAGTGGGTGAGTGAATGGGTGAGTGGGTGGGTGAGAGATTGAGTGTGTGGGTGAGAGATTGAGTGAGTGATTAGGTGAGAGAGTGAGTGAGTGGGTGGGTGAGTGGGTGAGAGATTGAGTGAGTGGGTGAGTGGGTGAGTGAGTGGGTGGGTGAGTGGGTGAGTGAATGGGTGAGTGGGTGAGTGGGTGAGTGAGTGGGTGAGTGGGTGAGAGATTAGCGAGTGGGTGAGTGGGTGAGAGATTGAGTGAGTGGGTGAGAGATTGATTGAGTGGGTGTGAGTGAATAAGTGTGTGTGAGATTGAGTGCGTTAGAGCTTGAGTGAGTGTGGCAGAGTGAGTCAGTGAGTGTGATAGAATGAGACAGTGAGTTAGTGAGAGACAGTGAGTTAGTGAGAGACAGTGAGTTAGTGAGAGACAGTGAGTTAGTGAGAGACAGTGAGTGAGTGAGAGACAGTGAGTTAGTGAGAGACAGTGAGTTAGTGAGAGTTAGTGAGAGACAGTGAGTTAGTGAGAGACAGTGACTTAGTGAGAGACAGTGACTTAGTGAGAGACAGTGAGTTAGTGATAGACATTGAGTTAGTGAGAAAGAGAGAGTGTGGCAGAGTGTGTGGCAGAGTGAGAGTGTGCAGTTCGTGTTTTGTCGAGAAAGTGTGGCGAGTGTGTGTGCGTTGTGTAGCTGTGTTTACATCGTGTACGTAGTGTTTGTAGTCTCTAATCAGTCTAAATTACGCTACAGAAATTCAACATTTGCACCCTTGCTTTGTGCTCTTTGATGTCGCCATTCCTGCGACGAGGACAGAAGGGAGGCCTGGCCGTTAGGCCTGCCATACACCTCGGCCTCAGGCTTCATATTCATTATTTTTTATGTTTGTATAATTTGAATTATGAACTTGTATTCCATTCATTAAATTGCAAGCGTATAAACACCATCTTGTTGGTTTATTTACTATTAAATTAATGGTTTTCTTAATCTATGTAGTTATGTTTAAGTGAGTGAGGTGGTAGTACTAAGTGTGAATTTGAGTTACATGTAAATTATTGTGCAATGGATTTGTCTGTGTGCACCTAGCCTGGCACGGACAATATGGACTATGTTATTATTAAGTCGTGAAAGAGATTGTTTATTTGTGTGTCTGTTATGTTTGTGTCAATTTACATATCTATATTTATAGCTGTGTTAATTTGATGGGTGGTGGTGATGGATAGGTGCGAGTTTTAACTTTAAAATGCTTGCAGATTAATAAAGATCTGCTTTGTTTTTAAAGATGACTGATCATACGTTATTGCAACCATATCCTTCCTTTAAAAAACACGGACGAGGAGACATTCACACACGAGTGTGCATGTGTTTCTACGAGTTTTAACGTTAATATACTTGCAGAACAATAAAGACCTGATATGTTAAAGATGACTGATCGTCCCTTATTGCTACAATGTTCATAGCGAACACGTGTGGAGGCGAGTTTCAGGTGAAGCATCTCCATCACACAAGTTTACCCTTACCTGGCAGCATCGTGGCAGTCCGCTGGTCACACTCACTACGTCACACTCACGAGCTGTAGGGGCGGGGCTCTGTCTGCTCAGTGGCGCTGTTTTCATTCATTTAGCACCACGAGCGGGGAGTCGCATCCCTGTAGTTCCCTGTTGTGGTGCCGCATTCATTACCACGTTGCCCTCAATTCTTTGTACGACACAAAATTATAACAATACACGAGTATACACTCCCATGTACACACACCCACACACGAGTGGGCATGCGCAGTGGTGTAGATACATACACAAATGTGCATTCACACCGCTTTGTACATACACACACGATGCCCTGAATTACGTTATACTTTTGAAAAAAAAACGCATTCAATTCTAATTCCTTCTGTTTCCACCCCAAAAGCTTGGAATTATTAATAATATTTTAAATAGTGGCCCCATGTTTAATGAGTGTAGTGAAGACATTAGTTTAGTTTATTTAATTCCATTTGTTTGCATTTGCTACGGCACACTGTTTGAGATTATTCTTCCCATTTATGAAATCTCTCTAGAATCATTTACATTTTCTTCATAAACTTCCTTGCATTCAGTTATTCTCGCATGTAACGCTCCTCATATCTAACAAACCTAATCTCATGTGGCCATTGTGCTTAAGCCGAAGTAGGATTTTGCACATTTCCAATGGCCTGTAAACTGTGATCAAGTTATCGGCCTTACCTGTGAAATACAGTATAATATATTGTTGATCGAGATATACTTATACGAAGAGGTGCATGTTTCATATCGTGTTGATGTGGTTTTATGAATATGTTTAAGGACCTTTGTTGATCAGGGTGTGTCTAGACAACGAAGGTGAATTGTTATATTCGATCAATTAAAATTGTTACAATTGCCGTGGATACCCATCTGGATGGTATCGTTTGTAAGCGTTGTTTATTATATTGTAACGCAGCCATGATCGCATTTCAGTCTATAGCAGAAAGTCTCGTGTGTATTTAGACCTTTGTGTATTACAGTGCTGTGTGTACGAATGTGTTGACACATTTTCCACGTGTTTTCACGGTAAGTGCATTGAATGTGGAGGGGTAACCAGCCCCTCGCAACAGTCCGGAGACCTCGAGGGCCGCTGTGATCGCTATGAGCATTCCCTCTGGAACATTGCTCACAGTTACCACAGCTTTACCGTCCGCCGATGCGGTAGGGGGTTGTTTTTACAGAACTTTACTCGTGGCAGGGGAATGCCAAACAACAGGGAGAGTGGCTCTTCTGAACAAAATAACGAAGGGGCATGGGACTGTGGCGGTGAGCTGTGGGAAGCTGTATGCCCCAGGCGAGGAGTGGTGGTTGCTCATGCCTACCCCGAAGGTGAACATCATTGCAGGGATGCAGGCAAGACCGATTAGTCATATGCCTTTCATAATATCCCGTAATAGAATCACACTGTGCTCGAATTAATGCATTGTGTATGTATCTATATGCGAACTGCGGGCTGCGGGATTTGAATGGCACAATAAATATAAAATAAATATGCTCAACAAGTTTTGATTAGGATTGTGCGGTTAATTGTTAATAAATACTGTAAATAGCTATTCCAATCCATTGAGATTGCACATTCAGCAAATTACAATGCGGCCACAATGCGATCCTAATAATTATAGTGCAATTCTAATCCCGCACCCCCAGTACGCATATCCGTCCCTAGGTCCGCAAATATATATATATATACATATGCATACATCCGAGTATAGTGGGATTATAATGTAGGAGGTCAGAGAAGGAATCTAACTCGACTTATATGCATCTTCGGTGGATGCATGAGCAACCACCACTCCTCGCCTCCCGTTGATTGGGAGGTGTGCCCACGGTAGCCTGGGGCTTAGCGCTTTCCACACCTTACGCCACGCTCCCACGCCCCCTTGATTCGTTTTTTTTTTCTCAGAAGAAGAGCCCCCTGTTGTTTGGCATTCCCCATCCACGAGTAAAGTTCCGTGAAAAGAATCCGCTACCTCATCGGCGGTGACGGACGGTAACGCTGCGGTGGATGTGAGCAATGTCCTGGAGGGAAGTCTCGTAGCCACCACAGCGGCCCACGAGGCCTCTGAAAGTGAAATAATTTTCCGAGTTCCTTAACTGTTTGAAAAACGAATTAATAAAGATTTTTACGCGAGTTTTAACGTTAATATTGTTGCAGATCAATGAAGACCTGATTTGTTTTTAAAGATGACTGATCGTACATTATTGCTACCATTTCCTTCCTTGAAAAAACACGGACAAGTAGAGTTCCAGAAGTGTTCACTTATTTCAGAATGACAACAATTTTATACTTTGGACGAATGGCTTCAGTCGAAAAGGACGTCAAAGGGGAAATCGACGTTTACGTGTTTGATTTCAAGAATATCTTTTAACTGTTAAATTCCTATTGGGAAATAATTTGCCTAGTTCCTTTCCTGTTTGAGCCTGCGTATTAATAAAGATTTCGATACGAGTATTAACGTGAGTTTTCTTGCAGATTAATAAAGACCTGATTTGTTTTTAAAAATGACTAATCGTACGTTATTGCTACCATAGTTTTCCTTTAAAAAAAACACGGACGAGTAGACATACACACACGAGTGTGCATCCAAACACGACTGTATATACAGCGTTGTACATTCACACACGAGTGTGCATGTGTTTCTACGAGTTTTAACGTTAATATACTTGCAGAACAATAAAGACCTGCTATGTTAAAGATGACTGATCGTCCCTTATTGTTACAATGTTCATAGCGAACACGTGTGGAGGCGAGTTTCAGGTGAAGCATCTCCATCACACAAGTTTACCCTTACCTGGCAGCATCGTGGCAGTTCGCTGGTCACACTCACTACGTTACACTCACGAGCTGTAGGGGCGGGGCTCTGTCTGCTCAGTGGCGCTGTTTTCATTCATTTAGCACCACGAGCGGGGAGTCTCATCCCTGTAGTTCCCTGTTGAGGTGGCGCATTCCTACCACGTTTCCCCTAAATTATTTGTACGACACAATATAAAAACAATTTGTTTGTTCCAATGCATAATCATACACGAGTACACATATACACTCCCATGTACACACACCCACACACGAGTGGACATACACAAAAGTACAGATCCATGTACATACAAACAGTAGTATACTTGTGTAATGCGGGCATAAACGGCCTCGCGGATATGACGTCACGGGGGGAGGAGTTAGGTCACGTGAGAGAGAGGGATGAGGTCTTAAGGGAGAGATACCGGAAGAAACGGGAGAGTGTTGGGAATAGAGACAGAGTGAGGCCACACAGTGCGGAGGTTGGAGAGTGGCGAGATCGCCACACACAGTAAGACTCGGCACCGTCGGCCAGCGGTGACGAGCACGGGGGAACAGGGAGCAGCGGTGGAGCTGCAGTGAGAGCAGCCGGAGGACTGCACAGCGGAGCTGCAGGAGCGCGAAAGGCTACGTGAGCGAAGGCAGCTGTCGAGCTGCTAAGCGGGGAGGCTCTGAGCGAGGGCCGTGTGGGACAAGTGTAAAGAACCCAAATAAAGGACAACGGAGACAGACCCAGTGAACGAGTCCTTTATTACACTTGCAAGCAATTCAACGTTATGTTGTGTCATCATGGGTTTATTTCACAAAGTTTAAAGTGCCAGCAACAACAATGGTATTGAACCTTATTCTTTACAGGAGTGGCTCTGGGTGGACATGCCACCACAAAGCAGCACGCGGCGGAGGAGGGAGGTGATCGCTCTCGCCACGCGAGCAAGGCCCCCTCGCTTCCTCTTCTTTCCCTGCATCACCACCTCCACCACCTGCACCTCCTCCACCTCCTGCTTTGTCTCGTCCTCCATCTCCTCCTCTTCATCCTCCACCACCATCTTCTCTCCATTCTCTGTCTTCTCCATTCCCTCCTCCTGTTCCTCCTCAACCTCTTCCTCCACCTTCTCCTCTTCCTGTTCCACCTCTGTCTTCTTATCCATCTTCTCTGCTTGGAAGCCCTCTTCTCCAAAGCTTGGAGCAATCGGGCCCTGTACAGGAGTGTCAGAGGTGGATGCGGTGGCGGTGGTGGTTGCAGCGGTGGTGGTGGTGGCGGCGGTGGTAGTGGTGGCGGCGGCGGTGTCGGTGGCGGCGGTGGTGGCGGTGGTGGTGGCGGCGGTGGTGGCGGCGGTGGTGGTTACTGCGGTGGTGGTGGTGGCGGCGGTGGTGGTGATGGCAGTGGTGGAGGTGGCAGTGGTGGCGGAGGGTTTTGTGGCAGTGGCGGCAACAGCGTCAGTGGCAGTGGTGGCGGTGGATGCGGTGGCGGCAGTTGTGGCGTTGGCGGTGGTGGCTGTGGTGGCGGTGGTGACGGCGGTCGTGGCGGTGGTGGCGGTGGTGGTGGCGGCGGGTTTTGTGGCAGTGGCGGCAACAGCATCAGTGGCAGTGGGGGTGGTGGTGGCGGTGGTGGTGGCGGTGGCAGTGGTGGCAGTGGTGGTGGTGGCGGTGGTGGTGGCAGGGGTGGGGGTGGAGTTGCCGGCGGTAGCGGTGGTGGTGATGGTTGCAATGCTGGCAAGGCGCTGCTCCTGCTCAAGGCGCTTCTCCTCCTCGACGCGTTTCACGTTGGCGAGACACTTCTCCTCCTCCTCCAGATTCTTCTCCTCAGGACACATCATCTCGAGATGATGCTTCTCATCAATGAAGTACTTCACTTGAATGAGGCGCTTCTTGAGGAGATAGTCTCGGAAGTACTTCTCATCTGTGCGGCACTTCGCCCTGGCAATGCGCTGCACCTCAAAGAGGCGCTCCTCTTCCATGGTGCATCTTTCTTTGCTAAGGTTCTTTTCCTGGAGATGCTTCATCCCGCTGACGTCCTTCAACTCCCCAATTATCCTCTGATCAAGCAAAGATAAGCAAAAGAACATTCAGACATGCACATGCAAGAAAACATTCATACCCACAGGCACGCAAACGTGGACGTGCACATAAACCCAAACAAAAAAACATACTCACACATGTATGTACAGATGCAGCCATCCACATTCAGTCATTCAAACTTGCTTAGTACACACTTGAATATACACTATCACCTGCTGTTAACACAATGCCTTATCCATCAATACTTGTATCACATTGTACGTGTAGTACTAACCCCTAAATATCCCAACTCCTATAGAATGAAAATACATGTCACATCCTCATATATCCCCATAAACCCCATGCATGCACTCAAGACTTTGCTCGATTGTGGCGGTTTCATAGCAATTGTTGGCAATAATCATCACTGGCAATAGTTTTCACAGAATGTCCCATTATAAATATCTGGAAGCCCAAACTCTGGACAAACTTCACTGCAGCGCCCATAGTGGGGAACTGGAATGGTAACTTCCAATCAAATCACAGACATAATTCATGTGACTGCCTGATATCATTCTGTCTTCATTGGTAATAAATGGCCACTTCAAGTGCCTGCATGAGCTGGGACTGGTGAAGAGATGCGGGTGATGGTGTCGGGACATGGTGTTGTGATTTGGAGAGGAGAAGTAGTGGGATGTTCTAGAGAGATGGTGTATTGTGATGGTATAGAGGCATGATGAGGCTCTAATATGGTGTATTGAATTGGTGGTCGTGTAGTGTGATGAGAAGGTGATGGGGAGAGTTGGTGTCGTGATATTTTGGTGTGATGGTGAGGTGACATGGTGTGCTCGTTGTCGAGACAATGTCGTGTGTTTTAACCCCACAGACCCCATACACATCGTGCTCTCTTTTAGCCCCGCCCCCCTCCCAATACGCTCCATTCATTGGCTACCACATTCTGATAAGCTCCTCCCCCTCCTCCCTCCTTAACTTGTATTTAAGAACTTGCATCTTGGAATCCCTGCCTCACTTGATACAGCAAATTCAGCTGTGACGGTCCCACCTGGGACGGAGACTTGTGTTGCCTCCGAAACGTCGTGATTTTTATTATTTTATTTTTTATTAATTTTTATTTCATTTTATACCTACGTGACTTTACAGAAATAACTAAGAGTATGAATCCTTGCAGTCACGAAAGCTTCAAATCTAGAACCCATACACACCTTTGGGGAGCGATTCTTGTAACTTTGGCCTGGGAAAGGGTCCACCTTATCCATAACGTCCCCCCACGTGGTCGACTGGCACGCCGACTCCCGGGCTATGAAGAACAGAAAATGCATTCAAAGTACGAGTTATTAATTAGAGAACGAAGGACATGGAGTCTCACAGAACTAATTTTGAGATCCCAGTAATTACCGCTTACCACACAACAGGACCTGCTATTGAAAAATAGTCATCACATGGCAGTAAAACTTTACAAGTCATGTTTTTGTCGGCAATCTCAATTTTGGAGCTTTCGTGACTGGAGGAATTATTCTTTGGTTCTTTAGGTTAAGTCACGTATAAAGATAAAATAATAAATTAAATAATAGCATACTACGACGTTTCGATTGCAACACAAGCAATCATCATCAGGTATAAAATAAATAGCAACAAAAATCTAACCAGAAAACTATAGACAGACACACAAGCAGACAGACATCACAAAGACACGCAGAGAGAGAACACGTATTGGCAGAAAGAGAGAGGTCGTCTCTGTGACGAGGCCTTAAATATACAGAGGGGGCGGGGGCGGAGAGATCGTAAATTACATAAGCTTGAGACCCCAGTTTGAACAAAGATGGCAACAACTCAAATATAAACCCATCCTCTTTGCCACACTCGATCATTACGTCTTCCCATTACCACCAAGCCATGTCTACGAAAAGTAATTCATCAAGGAGTCTCCTCCTCCGCATATAATCCATGTGATGCAGGTATCTGGGACTTACCCTCATATTCATCCAAGATCTCAGCCCACGTGATTTGTCTGTCCATGTTGTTGGGAACGAGTAGATTTTGTTTGAAGTTGGATGGCCTGGGGAGGTTGGAACAACGCTCAGATTTAGCAAACTTTTGAATCACTCATCCTCCTAATTAATACATATTTGACCACTCATTGTATCAATCCAATCACTATCGTGACTATACTCTTAGGTTTTTTTCGGTAAAGTCACGTAGGTAAAAATAGATAAATAATAAAAATAATTAATGATAAAAATATAAATAATAATAGAAATAAAATAATATATCACGACGTTTCGGAGGCAACACAAGCTTCCTTCATCAGGTGTAAAAAGGCACAGCAAAATAACTGTAGTTAGGTGTAAAAAGGCAAAATAACTACAGTTATGTTACAGTTATTCTACAGTTATTTTGCTGTGCCTTTTTACACCTGATGAAGGAAGCTTGTGTTGCCTCCGAAACGTCGTGAGTTATTCTTTTTATTCATATTATTATAAATATTGTAAAAGCTAATTTTTTTTTCCCTACGTGACTTTACCGAAAAAAAACCTAAGAGTATGAATCCTTGCAGTCACGAAAGCTTCAAAACTAAAACACTATCGTGACTTTTGTTGTTGCTGCTAATCCTACATAATGCAATGGCATAATATGACTTTGAGACCCCCCCCCCCCACCTCCTACGCATTTCACAAGTAGTGACTAATCCCATATATACATTTTCCATAAATATGCTAAATTCATCTGTTGATATGCAAATACCTTTGTCAAGGCGCCCTTCCCACTCTAACCCAGCTTAAATATACGCTGCCAAGCTTGGTGGTGTTCATTCAGACGCTGTCTTTTCGACAGCCCTATTCTTCACCTGAGGACGGCTGCTTGCGTTGTGGCCGAAACGTCGTGAGCATTGTATTTTATTATGTTTTATTTTTATCATTTTATTATTTTCTTTCTACGTGACTTTACCGATAGAATCAAGAAGACTATCGTGACTGTTGCTTTAAAAGCCCACTCACTCGCTTGTTTTCCCACTCATGTGTGCGCCCGATCACTCACTCATCCACCCACACGAACATGTTTATTCCAACTGCCTATTCCATTAAACATAATCACCAGACTTAACAATGATATTTCACCTCTAATCCCGACATGCATGTTCATGTACAGCCCATTTGTATTAATCGACTGCTTGATAGAGGACCCATATGCCTTGTGGGTCATTAGGGTCATATGACCATACTTTAATTATTTGTTATAATACGAGCATGACGTCGTAGGTCACTTGATGTCAGAGGTACCACCCATGTGGCTGTGACATCACAGATTGGAGGCAACTATGGCAGTGGCTAGGGTCTGAACTTAAAGGCAGACTCCTCCTCATATGTTGAATAACATTCAATACATGTAATGTAGGGCACAATTGTACCAGCAATCAGAACACAATAATTGTATACATGTTATTAATATTCTATGAGATTTAAACGGATTAGTTAAGCTTGTTTTAAATGCTGACTCGCTTGGGGTCTAAACAACGACAGTAACAGCAACATTTCAGAGAATGCCAAGTATCCTATCTAACAGTTCTAATTAGAATTTTTAATTAAAGCTTTCGTGACTGCAGGGATTCATATTCTTGGTTCTTTCAGTGAAGTCACATAGAAGGGAAACAATAAAATAATAAAAATATAAAACAATAAAATTATCACGACGTTTCGACTGCAACACAAGCAATCGTCATCAGGTGTGAAATCCACAGCAAGAAAATTTGAAAAAAGTGGCGTTTTTTTCTAATTTGATTGCTGAAAATTGAATTATGAACATTTAAAAATAATGAAGCTTTAGTTTGTGGTCGAAATGTAAAATCAACAGGGTCGCTCACCTCGTTGAGGATTCGCTCTCAAAAGGCTTCTTCTGCTGCTCCCTCGTGTGCATTCCTCTCCACTGTGGGTGGAGGCGTGGCTGTGACGTAACAGAGGTGACGTCACTAGCGCGAGGCTCCGCCCCCACGATCTTGACTGGCGCATCACGTGGTGCAGTGCTGGTTGTGCGCGGGACCGGAAACAGCAGGGCTTGGGTTCGACTTCAGACTCCGTGGTCTACACAGCTGAGGGTGAGTGAATGGGGTGGGTGGGTGAGAGATTGAGTGAGTGGGTGAGAGGGTGTGGTGAGTGAGGTGAATGGTGGAGTGGGTGAAGAGATTAGGTGAGTGGGTGAGAGATTGAGTGTAGTGGGTGTCGTGGGGTGGGTGATAGATTGGAGTGAAATGGGGTGAGTGGGTTGGGTGAGTGGGTGAGTGATGTGGAGTCGGGTGAGTGAGTGGGTGGGTGAGTTGGTGCAGGTGGAATGGGTGAGTGGGTGAAGAGATTGAGTGAGTGGGTGGTGTGAGTGGACTGGGTGGAGTGGGTGAGTGGAATGGGGTGAGTGGGTGAGTGAGTGGGTGAGTGAATGGGTGAGTGAATGGGTGAGTGGGTGAGTGAGTGGGTGAGTGAATGGGTGAGTGGGTGAGTGAATGGGTGAGTGGGTGGGTGAGTGAATGGGTGAGTGGGTGAGTGAATGGGTGAGTGGGTGAGTGAGTGGGTGAGTGAATGGGTGAGTGGGTGAGTGAATTGGTGAGTGGGTGGGTGAGAGATTGAGTGTGTGGGTGAGTGGGTGAGTGAGTGGGTGGGTGAGTGGGTGAGTGAATGGGTGGGTGAGTGGGTGAGTGGGTGAGTGAGTGGTGAGTGGGTGAGAGATTAGCGAGTGGGTGAGTGGGTGAGAGATTGAGTGAGTGGGTGAGAGATTGATTGAGTGGGTGTGAGTGAATAAGTGTTGTGTGAGATTGAGTGCGTTAGAGCTTGAGTGAGGTGTGGCAGAGTGAGTCAGTGAGTGGTGATAGAATGAGACAGTGAGTTAGTGAGAGACAGTGAGTTAGTGAGAGACAGTGAGTTAGTGAGAGACAGGAGTTAGTGAGAGACTGAGTGAGAGACGTGAGTGTTAGTGAGAGACAGTGAGTGAGTGAGAGACAGTGAGTTAGTAAGAGACAGTGAGTTAGTGAGAGACGAGTGAGTGAGAGACAGTGACTTAGTGAGAGACAGTGACTTAGTGAGAGACAGTGAGTTAGTGATAGACATTGAGTTAGTGAGAAAGAGAGAGTGTGGCAGCAGAGTGTGTGGCAGAGTGAGAGTGTGCAGTTCGTGTTTTGTCGAGAAAGTGTGGCGAGTTGTGTGCGTTGTGTAGCTGTGTTTACATCGTTGTACGTAGTGTTTGTAGTCTCTAATCAGTCTAAATTACGCTACAGAAATTCAACATTGCACCCTTGCTTTGGTGTCTTTGATGTCGCCATTCCTGCGACGAGGACAGA